GAAATGCAAATGGTGTTCAAAGCAAAAGCAAACATCAACTAAAATCATCCGAACTACACGAACTCCAGCACGGCGCAATGCTTTGATTACCCATTTGAGGCGAGGGTACTCCAGAATAATCGATCGCTCAGGATTCTCAAGTACATAGCTTTGACCCAAGCAACCAATGAGAAGGAGCAACAAGGAGACCCGACTCACCATGCGGTTTCCCTTTCGAACTGAAGTTGCCCCCACTTGCCCCTCTGGAACCAATTCATCTCTTTGGGATGTGTGTCTGTTCACTAGTGACCATGTAGAACAAACCACGGCAACGATTGCTAACGCATTCTTCCTGCCCTGGAGTAGCAGCAGCACAGCCAACCTTAGCCAAAACAGCCAAATGGAAGTAACATAATGGAACAAATGAAATGTTTGTTCGATATTGAGAATATCATTGCAAAAGCACCCCAATGCATTGCATATCATTGCACCAAATTGGATGAGAAACAGTATGCCTGCCTCTCCATTGATATCAAAACAACTACGCTTTTGATGTGAAGAGAATGACGACTCCGCTCCTTTCACCGGGTGGTCATAGTCAATGTCGTAGCACCGGACATTGAAACCGAGAAAATGTGCCCATTTGCTGACACGTCCAGAGCCACTAAAGAATTCAATCACATCCAATGGTTCAGGCACAAAGGTCTGGGTAACAGGAATCCAAGAGACAAGGAGCACCAACCATATCCAATCCTGACGTCATCTTAATGACTGGTGAATGGGGGGACTTTGCCACCGACAAGACCATGAATGAAGGCAACTAAGATTCAACTGGCGCTCCCAAAAGCAACATCGCCCGACATGCATGTTCGATCTCCTTCCTGGTAATTTTGGAAGTCATGGCGACGCTTGTCTCTCACTTGGGCCGCGCTAGTAAACTACGGCGGCAAGTTGGACAATTTGGATTAAAGGTGTTTCACTGCAACAGATACTTCCACATCATTGTGCAAGCAAAAGATCAGGCAAGAAGTAATGACCAGGCCAGGCGTGCGACAAAGCCCGAACTTTGCCAGCGTAGACTGGCCTCTGCGAAGTGGCATCCTGGGTTTTTATCACTGCCAAAATGAATTCACCAATGTCTGTGATTCACTGGCACTTGACTTCAAAGAGTCTCCTGGTGGAGCTTCGTGAAACCCGCAGTGGCCATTCACCTGGCCAGCGCATTCCAGGCACTGATTCAAGTTGGTGTTTGACTGACAGCATCGAAAGGTTTCAAAGGAAGGACGATTGTAAATTTTGGTAGCTCTCGCTTGAGTCAAAGATTCAATCCGCCACTCGTGGACTGGATGGCAGAATGTTTGATGCCCATCATGCTAAAGCCTGGAAATGCATCAAGTGTAGAACACAGTGTCCTGGTCCTAGTCATGTTTACTTCTAACTTAGATGGGCTCTCATTCAAAATTCTAGTGCATACAAAAGCCGTTCTAACTAAGCTGGAACTTCTCACATGTTGGCTCCCCAATGCACTCACGCTTGAAGCCAGCTCAGAGGTGGCTCTGAGGCACCATACCACACCTGTAGGATCGTCGCTTCACTCATCATAGCAGCTGCTCTCCTCAAAGTGTGGCTTCCCCAACAAGCCCTTTCTGTTTCCACAGAAACTTAAAAAATGCCAGTATTAGTCTTCAACAAGCAGTGGTATCCCTGTCTAAGCATCAAAGTTGGTCAAAATACCATGAGCAACAACAAACCACCACCAGCACCACCATGTCCTGTGGGTTATAGTTTATAATAATACCAAGACTCGCACTTGGGGTAGCGCCAGGAACTCAGACACCTTTCCCTCGGCAACTTCCACGAATGTCTTGTAAGTCTGCTGCGCAGGATCATCAGACAATGAGGCAATTGCGGAAGATACCAACTTGAACCAAGGGTCCTCCAGCGAGGACCAAACCCGCCAATGGGTAACAGATAGTTGGACTCAGAACACGGCTACACTTCTAGTAGCATGACCACTCTAACCACCATGTCTAACACATGCCCTCCCCTCCTGCAAGCGGGATGACTTCTTAAGAGAAGCGGCAATAGAGTTCTCGAAAACATCTCGAATCGCTTGGTGCTTCGCGGAGCCAATGTAGCGACCGGCAAATGTTTTCTTTGCCGCCTTGGCTGCCTTGCCTGCCTGCTCAGGCTCTGCCACATGTGCATCCTCAGCAGCACGCTTGGGGGCTGGTTTGGCAGATTTGCCACGGGACTGGTTTGCCTTGGGTTCATCTGCATTGCGAGAGGCTTTCGCCTTCGCTTTGGAAGCTGCCTTGGGAGAGGCTTTCGCCTTGGCTTTGGGGGCTGCCTTGCGAGAGGCTTTCGCCTTGGGTTGGGAAGCTGCCTTGGGAGAGGATTTGGCCTTTCCCTTGGGAGAGGCTTTTGCCTTTCCCTTGGCTTTGGGCTTGGGCCTGAACTCTGCTTGGAGTTGCTCCCGCCGCATCTTCACAGGAACCTTGAAGGTTTCAATCAGAATCAGCGATTCCATTTGAAGCATCACCTAGACCTATACACAATTTTTGGAGTTGAGTTGAGGGAATTTGGTAAACAAGTTTTGAGCAACCCCACGCCTCTGCATTGAACAGGGCTGCAACATCCAGATCATCGGGCACCTCGGGCGCTTTCGACTTGGAATCTGCCTTCGAAGGGCTGGGCGGGTCAACTTCCATCTCAGCCTGTGCTTCCCCACTAGGTCCATCCAACGGAATGGTCATCTCAGGGTTTGCGTCACGAACCGCAGATGCGTGAGCCGCTTCAGGAGCAGGATCCTCCTCCTGGGACTCAGGGATCTCAATGGTCTCTTCAAAAATGGCTGCCTTTCTCTGAGATTGGTCAACCATCTGACTCTCCATGGGCAATGTGTCCGCATTGTCCAGGCATGGGCCTGAGCAACATGACTATAGAAAACATCAAATGAAATACATGAATGCTGGCAAAATAATTGTAAAAAACAAAAACCTGACCTATGGCATCCAGATCACTGGAGGAGGCACGCTAAAGCGCACGCTGAGCTTGGCGTTGTTGAATTTGTAAACTGCAGGGTTGCCGTCCGATAGTATTGAATTCCTTTCCCCAAAAAGGCCCAACAAAAATCAAAAACTGCCAAAACAAACACAAGTTGAACCCCTCGCCTAATCAGTTGCATCTTGGCCAAAATGCGCTCTCGGTAAACCTTCTTCCCCTCAGGCTCGTCAGGGTTGGCCGCAGACTTGAGGTGAAGGTTCAGGCGCTCTCCATCTGACATCGCAGCTGAACTTGAATCTGAGGCGTGCTCGGGCTTAGATGCTGACCCTGGCGTAGAGGACGGCTCAGGGTTAGCCAGCTCCGGGGTTTCATTGAGTACATCGGGAATTTGACTGGCCTCAAACCAATCTAACGGCTGGGAATCCTCCAGATCCATTGGATCGAATGGTTGAGAGTCCTCCACGTAGATCATTTCAACCTTTGGACCACCAAGCCCTGGGGCATCACGACCATCTGCATCGTGCCCTGGAGCAGCATCATGC